AAGAGGCCTCAGACCCACAACTCAGGCACACTGGCGGGATGGGCCCAAGGCCACTAGGATCCGCCGCTCCCTGTCGATTCGTCGCAGGGGTGCCTGGCGTGCTAGATCCTTTCGGTTTTGGTTTTGGTTCTTTTTCCAAAAGAACTCCCCCTGGGGCTTCGGCCCGTCCCGCCGGGGTCCCCGAAGGGAGCTCAATCCCCACTTTGTCCTCCAAGACGGCTCAAGATGGCCTCCTCGATACCTTCAAGACGGCCAAGATGGTCTTCAAGACGGCTGACATGACCCCAAACTGCCTCCAAGACGACCCAAGATGCACCCAAGACGGCCTAAGATAGCCTCAGGATGGCCCAAGACGGCCCAAGAGCTCCCTAAGAGGTCGCCAAGACAGCCCAAGAGGCCTCCAAGAGGTCCTCCAGGAAGGCCCGAAGGGGCCAAAATCATTGATTGTCCTTGGGTTTTTGAAGGATTTTGGCATGTTCGCCTTCTCGGTCTTCCTACGGCCCAAGAGGCCTCCAAGATCGCCCCAAGATCGCCCAAGAGGTATCCAAGATGGCCCCATGACGGCCCAAGAGGCCCCTAACATGCCCCCAAGCGGGCCCCAAGACGGCCCAAGAGGCTTACAAAACGGCCAAGATGGTCTCCAAGACCCCCACATGCCTCCCAGACGGCCCAAGATGCACCCAAAACGCCCTGAGATGGCCTAAAGATGGCCCACGACGGCCTAAGAGGCCTTCAAAACGGCCCAGAAGGCGTCCAGGAGGCGTCCAGGAGGTCTTCCAGGAGGTCTTCCAGGAGGTCTTCCAGGAGGGCACGAAGAGACCAACATCACTGATGTTCCTATGGTTGTTGAAAGATGTTGGCATTTGCTTTTTCTCGGCATTCCGACGGCTCAAGACGGCGCAAGAGGCCCCCCAAGATCGCCCAAGAGGCCTCCAAGACGTCCCCATGACGGCCCAAAAGGCTCCCAAGACGGCCCCAAGAGGGCCCCAAAACGGCCCAAGAGGCTTACAAAACGCCCAAGATGGCATCTAAAAACCCCTGATCTGCCCCAAGAGGGCCCCAAGACGACCCAGACAGGCCCCCAAGACGGCTTCCGACGGCGTCAGACAAGCCAGGAACGCCCTAAGACGGCCAAAGAGGCCTCCTCCTCCCCCTCCTCCCCCTCCTCCTTCTCCTCCTCCTCCTCCTCCTCCTCCCTCCTCCTCCTCATCTTTTTTCCTCATCCTCCCCCTCCTCCTCGTCTTGCTCCCCAATGCTTTCCCCGAAATCTTCCCAAACCGACTCGGGGAACAACTGGCCCGATAGCTTGGCCAAGCTCTGGCCCAGCTGTCAGCCGCAGAGGCGCTTCCAAAAGGGCAGGGGGCGGCGGTGATTTGCCGTAGGCGTCTTAGATAACGCTAACGTCTCAATATGCGCTGATGATTCCGAACCGCACCCACATGATGTTCCCAGATGCGCCCAGACAGCGCCGAGACGCACCGACGCGACTCTGAGATATCCCATCATGATAGACAGGGGGCTGGCGGCAGGGGGCGAAGCCCTTACGGATTAACCGAGACGTGTCGAACTGTTTCTCCACGCGAGGCGCATATCTGTTTGAGCACTCCATACAGAAGAGCACATCGCCAGATATGCACTATCTGCGATACCCTCATCTCCGCCGTGCCTGCCAGGAGCCTACGAAAGCGGAGACGGTTGCGACCCACCCGCGACCCGCCCGCGACCCACCCAAAATATTCGGCGCCTGCGGCGGGTTTCTTATGCAATCGTTCCAGGTGGCGAACCTGCGATACACCCGCGACCAAAACCGCGCCCGCGACCCACCCGCGAACCACCACGACGCACCCGCGACACACGCCGCGACCCACCCAAAATTTACGGCGCCTGCGGCGGGCATCTTTTGCATTCGTTCCAAGTGGAGAACCTGCGTCCCACCCGCGACCAAAACCGCGTTCAATGTAAAAAAAAAAAAATTTCGACGCCTGCGGCGGGCTGTTTTTGAATTCCTTCCAGGTGGAGGTGGAGAGCCCGCGACCCACCCGCGACCCAAACTACGTTCACTGAACAAACCATAACTTCGGCGCCTGCAGCGGGTTTCTTTTGCCAGGTGAAGAACCTGCGACCCAAACCGCGCTCAGTGTACAAATCAAAATGTTCGGCGCCTGCGGCGGGCTGATTTCCAATTCCTTCCAGGTGGATGTGGAGAGCCCGCGATCCAAACTACGTTCACTGAACAAGCCAAAAATTCGGAGCCTGCGGCGGGCTGTTTTTGCATTCGTTCCTGCCGGCCCACCAGTGATCCCCCCCGCGCTGGACCTGTCAGAGCACGCAAATCGACGCAATCGGCGCCTGAGCAGGAGCAGGAGGAGAAGAAGGAGGAGGAGGAGGGGAAGGAAGAGGAGGAGGAGGAGAAAAAACGTGCCATCGACGGGAAGGTGCGGGCCACGAGGTCCGCCGGCTCGACGCCTGCGTCGCCCGCGCCCGCCCCCTCACTCTTATC